TAAAATAAAATATAATTAAATACTTAAAACTAATATTTATTCTGCTGCTGCTGCTGCTGCTGTTGCTGCTGCTGCTGCTGCTGCTGTTTGGGTAGAGGGACTGCCGACGGCCGAAGGCTATACTGCAGCAGCAGCAGCAGCAACAGCAGCAGCAGCAGCAGCAGCAGCAGCAGCATTATTTCTCTTCTCCTAAAAATTTAATAATATTTTTAATACTTCTTCTTACTGCATGCATTCGTGGGGTGTATACGCAGCTCTCCCCCCTCAACAGCTAGCAGCAGCAAAATAAAATAAACAAGACAGCTGCCTATACACCCCAACTATGCATGCAGCGGAGGCTTCTGCTGAGGGCCCCCCAGGTGGGGGTCCCCACACAGCAGTACTCTGTCTCTCGCTAGCCACAGCCTTGAGAAAAAAACACTAGCTAGCTAGCTAGCTAGCTGCTTAGATAGCTAGCTAGCTAGCTAGCTAGCCAGTGCCTTACCCAGATAGCTAGCTAGCCGAAACTCTAGCTAGCTACAGCCCTGACCAGCTAGCTAGCTAGCCACCATATTAACCAGCTAGCTAGCTAGCCACTGCTATAGCTAGCTGGCTAGCTAGCTACCCTCTGAAGCCCTGCTCTGTATCCATCCAGGTAGCTAGCTAGCTGCCTAGCGACCAGCTAGCTGACGAGGTGCCGGCGCCCCTAGCTAGCTAGCTAGCTAGCTAGCCATCTTTCTAGCTAGCTATCCTTCTAGCTAGCTATCCTTCTAGCTTGATAGCTAGCTAGCTAGCTAGCTATCCTTCTAGCTAGCTAGCTAGCTCGCTAGCTATCCTGGCAAGCTTGCGGGGACCCATCTGTATTGTTGGCTGTATCACTAGCTGCTACTCTACGCGAAATCTTGCTGCTGCTGCAGTTGCTGCTGCAGTTGCTGCTGCTGCTGCTGCTGCTGCTGCTGCTGCTGCTGCTGCTGCTGCTTCTGTTGCTGCTGCTGAGGGTGAGAAGAAAATAAAATTAAAACAAAAGACGGAGTTTTGTCTCCAGGGTTTAGGGTTTAGGGTTTAAGGCGAGAGGAGACAAAAGGAGACAGCAGCAACTGTCTCCTTTTTTGTCTCCTTTCTTTTCTCCTTTTTTTGTCTCCGTCTCTATCTCTATCCTGATCTGTCTCTATTTCTTCTGTCTCCTTTCTGTCTCCTTTCTCTCTCTCTTTCTCTCTTTCTGTCTCCTTCTCTCTCCTTTCTGTCTCCTTTTCTCTCTTTCTGTCTCCTTTCTCTTTCTGTCTCTCTTTCTGTCTCTCTTTCTGTCTCTCTCTTTCTGTCTCTCTTTCTGTATCTCTTTCTATTTATCTTTCTGTCTCTCTTTCTGTCTCCTTTCTATCTCCTTTTTCTCTCTTCTCTCTCCCCTTTTTCTCTCCTTCACTTCTCCTCTCTGTTTCCTTTCTGTCTCCTTTCTGTCTCTCTGTTTATCTCTCTATTTGTCTCTCTTTTTCTCTTTTTATTTATTTTTTTTATTTTTTTATTTTTTTTCTTTTTTAATACACCCTCTTCATTGGGGGTACGGGCTCCATCTCCGAGTCTAGGGGCTTACCCTGCACAGGGCGATAAGCCAATTCAAACTGCAGCAGCAGCAGCAGCAGCAGCAGCAGCAGCAGCAACAGCAGCAGCAGCAGCAGCAGCAGCAGCAGCAGCAGCAACAGCACAAGAAGAAGAGGAAGGGGGTTAACGCAAACAGAGAAAACCCCACTGGCTAAGGATATAGTCTACACGCTGCTGCTGCAGCAGCAGCAGCAGCAGCAACAGCAGCAGCAGCAGCAGCAGCAACAGCAGCAGCAGCAACAGCAGCAGCAGCAGCAGCAGCAGCAGCAGCAGCAGCAACAGAAAAAGAAAGCGACGGAGACAGCAGACAGAAGAGGAGACAGGAGAGAAAAGAAAGAACAAAAAGGAGACAAATAAAAACAAATAAACAAAAATAAATGACGAGACAAACAAAGACAAAAAGGAGACAAAGCAGAACAAAATAAATAAAATAAAATAAACAAACAAAATAAACAAAATAAAATCAACAAAATAAAAGAAAATTAAATAAATAAAATAAAAAAAATAAAATAAAAAAAATAAATAAAATAAAATAAAAAAAAATAAAAATAAAAAAATAAAAAAATAAATATTTATGTTACCTTTGCGTTCTCTACTTCTCTCCCCCGCTGAAAGCAGAGTGTATGGACCATCCACTCCTCATCGTTTCGCTCCTAAACCCTCACAAACCCTAAACCCTAAACCCTAAACCCTAAACCCTAAACCCTAAACCCTAAACCCTAAACCCTAGGGACCAAACCCTAATACTGCTTCTCCCACTGCAGCGAAAATTTCAGAGTTCAGGCTGCAGTGCTCCTTGCTGCGGCCCCTAAACCCTAAACCCTAAACCCTTGACCCTAAACCCTACTAAACCCTAAACCCTCAACCCCAGAAACCCCTAAACCCTAGACCCTACTAAACCCTACTAAACCCTAAACCCTCAACCCTAACCCGTAAACCCTACAAAACCCTCCTAAACCCTCCTAAACCCTAAACCCTCCTAAGCCCTAAACCCTCCTAAACCCTCCTAAACCCTAAACCCTCCTAAACCCTAAACCCTCCTAAACCCTAAACCCTAAACCCTAAACCCCACTTTAAAGTCTTCTCTTGCATGGGCTCCTCTGCTTTCTTTTCTGGCTTCTGCGCTGACGATCGTCATCATCGCCTGCGTCAGCAAATTCTCCAGCTCCAGGGTCTCCACCAGGTCCGTGTTCCTGCAGCAGCAGCAGCAGCAGCAGCAGCAGCAGCAGCAGCAGCAGGAGGAGGAGAAGGAGGATAGGAGGAATGGTGGCAGCAGCAGCAGCAGCAGCAGCAGTATATAAGGGAATGCTGCAGCAGCAAAACAGCAACAGAACCACAACAGCAACAACAACAACAACAAAAACACCAGCAGCAACAGCAGCAGCAACAGCAGCAACACCAGCAACAGCAACAGCAGCAGCAACAGCACCAGCAGCAGCAGCACCAGCAGCAACAACAGCACCAGCAGCAGCAGCAGCAGCAACACCAGCAACAACAGCAGCAGCAACAGCAGCAGCAGCAGCACCACCACCACCACCACCACCACCAGCAGCAACAGCAACAGCAACAGCAACAGCAGCAGCAGCAGCAGCAGCAGCAGCAGCAAAGTTACCAGGATTTAGATTTATCAGTAACAACAACATCAGCAAACTGTTTTAATATTTGCTGCAGCTTCTCCACCCCCTCCTGCAGCACGGGGCCCGTACGAAACACTGCAGCGTGGTCTTGCATCGTCTGCATGCATGCATGCAGCAGCAGCAGCAGCAGCAGCAGCAGCAGCAGCAGCAGCAGCAGGAGGAGAAGGTGAGATATGAAGATATAAAAAGAGAAAGAAGGGGATAGGTAACTAGATAAGTAAAGGAAACAAAAAGAAGATAAAAACAAACAAATAAATAAAAAATAAAATAAAAAATAAAATAAATAAATAAACAAACAAAAGAATAAAAAATAAATAAACAAACAAAAAAGACAAAAAATGAATAAATAGACAAACAAACAAAAGAAAACAAAAAATAAATAAACAAACAAAAAAGAAAATAAAAAATAAAAAATAAATAAAAAATAAAAAAATAAAAAGAAAATAAAAAACAAAAAAATAAAAAAAAAAATAAAAAATAAAAAAAAAAATAAAAATAAATACCTTTTGCATGCTTTCTCTGATTTGTGCTGGGGTTAGGGTCCCCTTGTTGTTTTTTAGTTTTTCTATGCGGGCCACTGTCTCCTCTCCAGCATCATCACGCAGTGAGGGTTTAGGGTTTGCTGCAGTATAAATAAATAAATAAATAAATAAATATAAATAAATAAAAATATATATTTAGTTTTATATACAGCAGCAGCAGCAGCAGCAGCAGCAGCAGCAGCAGCAGCAGAAGAAACAGCCACTGTCTCCTCTCCGGCATCATCACGCAGCGAGGGTTTAGGGTTTGCTGCAATATAAATAAATAAATAAATATTTATTTATTTATTTATTTATATTTATTTATTTATTTATATTTATTTATTTATTTATTTATATTTATTTATATACAAAATAAATAAAAACAAAAAAAGCAGCAGAAAGAGCAGCATGGGTAGAGCTTGGGGTGTATATGCAGCTGTATATTGTTTTGTTTATATTTATTTATATTTATTTATTTATTTTTATATTTTTATATTTTTATATTTTTATATTTATATAAATATATATATATAAATATAAATATATAAATATAAATTACCTATTCTATCTCTTTGTGTAATAACAACGTTAAACCCTAAACCCTAAACCCTAAACCCTAAACCCTAAACCCTAAACCCTACTATAATAAATATAAATAA